CCCGGGGCCGCTCCCCCCGGTTGTTTTATGCACTGGTCTCCTGTCCCTTGACCCCCCTCCCTCCCTCATTTTCTCCTCTTTTGCTGGAGCTGGGTGAGTCAGGGGGAGTGAATCAGGGAGAGAGCAGAGAGGGAGAAATCATCCTCCAGCAGCCGGCTGGATGCACTTTCATCAGGGAAGGCATCTTAATAACAGGTATTTACTAAATGTAATTAAATAAAATATCAATTGAAAAGGAGGGGGGGGAGGGGTTGGTATTGCACAAAAAAACATGCCCCCATAAGAAAATGCGACAAAACAATGTGGCATCTTTTGCGGGGGCATCATTTATGTGCAATAGTACATATCGTCCAATACAGATGTCACCAGCACTAAGAGTCTATGTTAGTGCAAAATCCATTTTATTGATAGTGGTCATTCAACCAACAACCCCTTTCAGGGCCGTGCAGGGTCCTCTTCATCAGGCTCAGAAATGACATTCTAGTATGTCTATATAAAGGTTGTGGTACTTTTATGCAACGTCATTTCTGAGCCTGATGAAGGGGACCCTGCACGGCCCTGAATGCGCTTGTCGTTTGAATGACAACTATCAATAAAATGGATTTGCACTAGGGATACAATGATACTAGTATCGGTACCGTTTCCGAGTATTTGGGTGAGCACTCGTACTCGCCCAAATGCTCCAATACTTACCTCCAATACCGGAAATTCCGGTCAGAGGGTGATCTCGCTCTGACCAGCAGTGCCGAGGGAGCATGGAGCCGGCTTCCTTTACAATCAGGAAGCCAGGCGGTGGGTTATGACCCGCCTCCTGGCTTCCTGTTTGGCTAGGAAGACAGCTTCACTTGATGGTAGGCAGTCTGGCTTCCTGACCAATCAGGAAGCTGAACGGCACCTCATGACTTGCCGCCCAGCTTCCTGATTGGTCAGGAAGCCAGACAACCTCAAATGAAGCCTGTGTTCTTTCGCAAGAACACCGGCTTCACTGGTAATCAGGAAGCCGGACAGCGGGTCATGATCCACCGCCCGACTTCCTGATAATTGGGGTACAAGGCACCGGTACTGTACCGGTAAAAAAATATTGAAAAAACGGTATCGGTGCATCCCTAATTTGTAGGGATGTTCAGATAACAGTGCCAATACTTGGCATTTGCACGAGAACTACTAGGGTTGCTCTGTCCTGAAATTATTAGTCTGTATTGTTTTAGAAAAACTGTCACATGACAATAAACAAAAATGTATCAGTACTTGTGCTTGAAAAAATGGTATCGGTGGATCCCTAATTTATAAAAAATAATAATAATCATACAATAAAACAGGAATGCACAAATCCCAGGAGCTCCTTACAAATGACAGCTGCCTCCTAACTTTTGAATTTTTCTCTAGTCTAGTCTTGGAGCTGGAAAAGTATCTGTACTTGTACTTGGTATCTGAACATCTCTATTATTTTGCACTAACATGGAATATTGTTGCTAGTGACATCTGTATTGGAGTTCTGTTGTGAGCGGCACCATCCGCAGTCATTACGAGCGACCATTACTTCTGGTAATGGTCGCTCGTAAGCAGTGCGGAAATGTATATGGATACTGCTTTGTATGGTACACATCTGGGACCTGTGGCACACTGGCATCTTATGGGGACATTTATTTATGTACAGAATATATATCTGGCGACCTATGGCACACTGGCATCTTATGGGGCATCGTTTATGTACAGAATGCATATCTTGAGACCTGTGGCACACTGGCATCTTATGAGGCATTGTTTATGTACAGAATGCATATCTGAGGACCTGTGGCACACTGACAAGTTGTGATTAACTCCATATGATTTGTGATACATTGTGATTAACTCCAATGTTATTTAATCACAAAATATATGCATAGGGTATACTTTACAAAAAAAATGCCGTGAGGTGCTACAGTGTTCGGGTTTGGCTTGAAGAAAAGGTGGCAACCCTGTATGATACATGGTACGATTGCATTAGGTTTGGGATAGCATCAAGCGTGACCTTTACTTCAGACGTATTCTCCACAAGCACACACCAGGTTGCAATAACCATCCTCTCATAGTCACTGGCAGCCTCCATAATGTGCATTTATGTAATTTTCTTTTGAACTCACTACACTGTAAAGCTGGCCATACACCTATAGATTTTCTGCAGATTTTCTCAGATAGAAAAAGTTCAACAGATTCCTCCATCTATTGCTGCAATGTATTGGGAATATGTACTGTATATGTACTACATATACAGTAGAATACACTGCAGCAATAGATTTACAATTCTGCACTGCTAACATAAATAGTTTAAATGATCCATAGTACATAATATGTACATAATGTGTAGTTGTACCATGGATCATTTAACCTATTCATATTAGCATGGGATAATTGTAAATCTATTGCTGCAGTGTATTCTACTGTATATGTAGTACATATACAGTACATAATCCAAATACACTACAACAATAGATTCTTGTTGTTCACACAACACTAAACTTCCCACTTAAGCCAGCCACCTAAATTAGGACCCCACCTGGAGCACCACCCACCTGGAGCACCACCCACCTGGAGCGCCACCCACCGGAGCAGCAGTGACGAAACGCTCGGAAGTAAAGAAAAAGAAAAAACATAGCGCAAGCTTCGGCGCTATGTATCGGGGCATTTTGACAAGTACAAGTACTTGTCAAAATGCCCTGTATCGGTCCCGATACCGATGTTCGTATCGGTATCGGGACATCCCTAGTAATAACTAAACCCCTTGTGTTTGTGCTTATGTTGGAAATAATGACATAGAAGCACTTTCTGTTGTTAGAAGGCAATCCTTTACTTTGTAATAAGCCAACAGTGTATTGAATGTTCGCATTTCATATAGTAAAATCCAAAAATGCAATAAATAGACCAGCACCAGGAAGACCATCCATAAGCTTGAACCCTTCACTGCACCTCCAGTAGACGCTGCCCCGGTACAGTCAGGGAGTCCAGAAGGCTACATAGAAAAACAAAAAACAACCGGGCGCATTTCCTGGTGCAGGTAAAAGTTTTTTATTCAATAAAAAAGTAAACAAAAATATACTCACAAACAAGACAGTATTAAAAGCATCAAAATGGACTGACAGTCCTTGTTGCATAGCTGCTGTGGATGTAACAGAAGGAGAGATCGAGAAGACACTCAGGAGACTCTGAGTCCCACTGCTAATGCTTGGTACGCTTTCGGGGACACACCCCCTTCATCAGAGCGTCAGTGTTTGGCCTCAGGTAGTATTTGAGAAAAATTGCTGTTTTGGAACCCAAATGGTGAAAGCTATTCCAAGTATTTTGTGTGTATATCTAGCACACACACACATATACACACAGCGTGAGTATTTCTCCTTTCATATTCTCAGATAGTGGGTTTGGCTGCACGGGATTTCAATCGCGCCAAGGAATTTGCCCAAAGTCATGGAATACTAAAAGTATACAATTCATATGAAGAGCTTGCCAGTGATCCTGACATCGGTAAGTACATGCCTCTCAACATTCAGAGATAAGAAAGAGGGGCACCTTTTAGCACATTGTAAAGGGCACACTCCTTCCAAGCCCCTGTTATGTGTACAACAAAGAATTAATACGCAAAATCTTATTAGTTAAACCAACAAGTACATTTTTTAATGCTACTTTTCCCTTTTAGTGGCTTTACAACAAAAAAAATGCAATAACATATGAGGTTAGATTAACATCTTAGTACAGTATATCACTTTTGATAGATAAATAGTACATTTCTATAGAGGTCTATACAGCAGACCAAAAACAGGGAATACTGAAGAGGAATCAAATTAGTTCCAAAAGAGGGAAGTCCTTACAAATGTGAGATACCGTATATACTCGAGTATAAGCCGTCCCGAGTATAAGCCGAGGTACCTACTTTTACCCAAAAAAACTGGGAAAAAGTATTGACCCGAATATAAGCCGAGGGTGGGAAATGAGGCAGCTATATACTCGAGTATATACGGTAGTTGGGGGCTATGAATGTTGAATAAACAGACTAAAAATGTAGACTGTAATTTGTGGAGCCCAGCCTGTGAAAATTAGACTAAACAAAGGGCTAGACAAATTGCAAGAGCCAAGTCCCCAATATGCCAAAATATATTGTAGCTAGCACCAAGATTTGTTTGAGCTTTAGCAGCTGATATCCATATAAGTACATAGTCCCCATCTCCTTAACATTTCTTTATATCTTTCCAGCTTCTAACTGAACACATTTTTTATTTTTATTAGTTAGGTAAATATGAATTACTGCATATAAATATCCAGTTGGAAGTTTTCATATCCTCTTCTTTTCATATCCTCTTCACATATTTTCCAGCTTCTCCTTACATCTTCTTGTAATTCACTTGGTTACAAAGTCAAGTAGATCAAGCAGAAATGTACAGACATGTAAATGAGTCAGAGCAGTGACATACTCTCACTTCCTTTGCCTCCAAATGGTGCCATTCAAGGTTTCAATGAGAGGCAAGTGTAGTTGAAAGAAAACCACTTCTGCTGTGCACTCTGTTTCTAAGTCCCAAAGTGTTCTGGGAAACATTTGTAATGGTGTTCCCTGTATAAAATATTAGAAAAACAAGTATTGTGTGTTTTAAAGAAAATTAGAATTAAGGCAAAACCATTGTAGCTTGTGGTCTGTCTATATATTTGCATATCTTATTCAGTTTGCCACCTGTAATTCTGTAACCCACATGGTCCTTTTCTCAGATGTTATCTACATTGGTGCCATTCATCCAGTCCATAAGAATCTGGGGCTGATGTGCATGGAGAAAGGAAAGAATGTCCTGTGTGAAAAGCCTCTGGCCATGAACCTCGCAGAAGTGAAAGAGCTCATCTCTGCTGCCAGAAACCATAATGTATTTTTAATGGAGGTATTTACTATCCTGTTCATGATGCTTACATATTGTATTTTATTGGTCCTAAGATGCTATGGAACATAACAAATGCCTAATAACTAGAGGCTAAAAAAATATAGAAATTATTCATTGCTTTCCATGGGTAAGGCCTTATTTCCTATGCAAGAGACTGTTCCCTTAGCTTAGTGAATGAGCTGACTTCAATCACCGCAATCTTGTGCAAGAAAAAATACTAGGGATGCACTGATATATCGGCCGCCGAAACATATCGGCCGAAAATTGCACTTTTGGCTAAATGCCGAAAGTGCCAGTTTTCCGCCAATATAGTGGCGCATCTGTAATGCTCTGGGCTACAAATCCCAGAGATGTAAAGCTTATCCCAAGGACGAGCCCAGATGTAAAGCTTGACAAAACTTTAATTTCTATTTTGTTGTCTGTTCTTGCAGTAAAGCTCAAGGAAACTGACCCATGCAGCATTTTCACCAAAAAAAAGTACTTTAAATGCTACTTGGTCAGTTTCCTTGAGCTTTACTGCAAGAACAGACAACAAAATAGAAATTAAAGTTTTGCCAAGCTTTACATCTGGGCTCGTCCTTGGGATAAGCTTTACGTCTCTGGGATTTGTAGTCCAGAGCAAAACAGCATCCCGGGTTTCTTTCCTCCCCGCTGGGCGCTGCTCCAAGCGGGGAGGAGAGAAAGTGTGACAGGCGGCCGAGCGCTGCGGGAGAAGAGCACTGTGAGCTGTCACAGTTCCCATATTTAAGAAGGGGCAAGATGCCAACCTGGGAATTACAGACCAGTTAGTCTTACATCTGTAGTTTGTAAACTGTTAGAGGGAATGATTAAGGACTATTTAGTAGAATTTGTTCAGGATAATGGTATAGTTAATGACAATCAGCATGGGTTTAGGAAAGATCGTTCCTGTCAAACCTACTGACTTTTTTTACGAGGGGGTAAGTAGAGATCTGGATGGAGGGAGGTCTGTGGATGTGGTATATCTGGATTTCTCAAAGGCTTTTGATACGGAACCACACAAACGCTTACTTCACAAGCTGAGAGCTGTGGGCATAGATGGAAGGGTGTGTACATGGATAGAGAACTGGCTAAAGGAACGGGTACAGAAAGTATCAATAAATGGCGCCCTTTCAGACTGGGCTAGTGTCATTAGCGGTGTGCCTCAGGGTTCTGTGCTGGATAAATTTCGGTTCCGTCTCGGTTTTGAGATTTCCATTTCGGTGCACCTCTAAAAAAATACTGTTTTTCTTTCTTTGGATATTTTATTTCCTTGCAAAGTGAACAGCATACGTGCCATTAGTAAATAGGCAAACTACTTTAAAAGCTAATGCTATTCCACAATGGTCCTACCTGCATCCGTGCCACTTCCTAAATGCACTTAGCAATAGGCCGGCTTACCCAAGAAAACTCACTGACTTTAAACATCTATGCACCTCTGCTGCCCTTCTTCGCCACTTTATTTCCACCATATATTCATGATTTCACCAGCTGTTGCCTAAAGCTGATCCAGTGGCTAAAGGATGGCAAAAAGAACTGGATATCACCGTGACAGAGGAGGAGTGGAAAGCTATGCATCAAGCTCTTCTGAAAGGCAACCTTAATGTTAACATACAGGAAACTAACTATAAGCTTCGAACCAGATGGTACCCCACACCTGTCTTCTTGCATAGGATTACAGCACGCTTACCAGATACCTGTTGGAAATGTCGTTAGGATAGGGTACCATGCTACACATCTAGAGGTCATGCCCTCTAATTCACTCCTTCTGGTCTCAGGTACATTGCTTAATTGGCAAGATCTTGGGCTGTTCCCTACAGTTCCACCAGGCTCAGTGTTTGCATCATCATTACTCACTGCCATTTAATGTATATAAGCAAGCTCTTCCCTTTCACCTGCTCAATGCAGGGAAAAAGCTTATTCCGAGATTTTGGAATGCTAGAGACTGATTACACAGCATTGAGCATGTAGTGACCATGGAAGAACTCATCCATAGTGATTGGGACACAATGACCTTGTATGTCTACACTTGGTCTCAGTGGGCCCTTTTGTATCACTTGCCAATAACTTTTGGATTGTAAGGTCTCTCAGGCAAGGCCCTCCTAACCATCTTGTTTTGAATTGGATTGTAACTGTAATGTCTCTTTATATTGTAAAGTGCTGCACAAACTGTTGGTGCTACATAAAGTATAATAATAATAATAAAAATATAGACGCCTCTGCTAGAGGTGTGGACTCCCCGTCAGACTTTGGGGAGCCTCCGCTTCCTATCTTACACCACTTTTAGTTCCTTTACATACAGCTTTCTTGCTTTTTCTTCCTTTCTTTTTCAGTCCCTTTTCCTCCTACTCCCCATATGTCACGTGGTCCTGTTAATTTTTGCCACTGAACACAGGGCCTCTTATGTCTCTTCACAGATATGGGGTGACATTGTGGGGATTATGCCCCACAATAAGGCACCAGTTAATGTTTACTGGTATTGTAGCAGACCATTATACCCAAAGAATGAATTTAGCACACTTTTTTTAGGATGCACAAAATTAGAAGCTAAAAGTTGTCAAACAAGTTATTGTTTATTGTAATATTAAATTGCTATATTTTTGGCTTCTGAAAACTGCCATGGTAATTTTGCATGCAGGAATTTTGGTGCTGACTATTTATTTATATTGCCAACAATTTACACACTTTACAAACTGTACATTGACATCAATCCCTACCCTCAGGGAGCTTACAAGCTAAGATCCCATGCATATGTACACTTACTAGGACCAATATCAACATTAGCCAATTAACCTACCAGCATGTCTTTGGAGTGTGGGAGGAAACTAGATCTCCCAGGGGAAACCCACACAAGCAAATGGAGATCATGCAAACTCCATGCAGATGGTGTCCTGGTCGGTATTCAAACCAAGGATCCCAGTGCTGCAAAGCAGAAGTACTAACCATTAAGCCAATGTGCTGCGGCATATCATTTTTTTTAACCATTAACTTTTACCACGTGTTGTTTTGATACATGCATAATGAATGCTATCACAGCAATCAATACTACATACAAAATAAACTGCAACAAATTATCCATCATATGCAGTTATATATCTAAATAAACCTACTACAGAAACACTACACTATGGAAAGAGCATTCTGGAGCCGATTCTTCCCAGTCTATGAGCAGATCCGCAGTCTCCTAAATCAGAAAGCTCTTGGAGAGGTGAAGGTTGTACAAGCAGAATTTGGTGTGAACTTACTTCATATTCCCAGAGCAGTGGATAAGGAGCTAGGTGGAGGTGCTCTTTTGGATATTGGCTGCTACTGTGTCCAGTTTGCTTTAATGGCTTTTAGTGGAGAAAAGCCTGAGTCTATAACTGCCAGAGGATATCTACATGAGACCGGTAAGGTTTGTACAAACCATAACCCCAGGTTTCTGTAGGTAGTAAAGTAAACAAAAACACACGTGTGGTTTATGTCTTGTTTAGCATTACTATACCTTTTTTGATAGGAGTGGATGAAACTGTGACAATTATCCTGCAGTACTCTGGAAAACGCCAGGCTATTCTAACCTCCACCCTTGTGACTCAAATGCCAAACCGAGCTGTGATATGTGGCACAAAAGGAATGGTTCAGGTACCCTTAACCACATTCTTTCTCATTCGCAAAGTATAAATGTAAAAATTACACCAGGGTAAGAACAGCTCCATTCCATGAGGACCAAATAATTGTCTGCCCCCTGAGTCCCAGGCTGAATAGGTTGAAATTAGTTTAATAGCGACTGCAAATACAACCTTAAATTTAGCACGGGTATGACAAATTTACATTTTTGTTTGTGGATTAACTAGAACCACAGCTTATTCATATCAAGAGTTGCTTGTGTGGGTAGATTGGACATTTGATATGGATGTCCTAGTAGGCTCACTCTAGGGCTGTTCTAGGCATGTTTCAGGTTGACCCAGAGGAAATAGAAGAGATTACGTCCCTCAAATAGACTGGGATTGCCTGGATTTCCCATGGAGGGCTTGCCAGAGAAGAATCAAGTGTAGGAGTTGCAAAAAACTGCGCACAGCATTTTTCAGTAGAGAACTCACCTCAGTCCCTATTGGAGTCATACAGTGTAAAGTATAAAACAATTGAATATAATTAGGAATGAGGAACTGTTCACTGCACTTTTCAAAATATATTTATTTTGACATTTATTTTCAAGATGATATAATCTCCAAGATCTAACACACATTAAAAAGAAAATAACTGAATTTATAACCTTGTGCGAGGTGAGGTTTCTGCAGTCCACACTGGAACTCCATTATTCTTCAGATATTTATCTATAGGCTGGCAAATTTACATTGTTAGCAGCTAAGCATACACTATGTGGTCAAAAGCAAGTAAATATCCCTCCTAATAACTTTAGCTGAACACATTAAAGGGTGGATAAAATCAAGCACATAGCCGTACAATCTGCATTGATTAGCAGCACAATGAGATGAACTGAAATGCTGATTGTGATCCAGGTCTTTCTGTCCAACATCTGTTCCTGATTTTACAAATGCCCTTTTGCCTGAATAGGCAACAAATACCTAAAGACACACTCAAAAATCAGCATGTTTCCCTTAGTCCCTGTTCACACATAGGCGTTTTGTCGCTCAAAGGTAAGCACGACAAAACGCTCAAGACAAGGAATTCCATTCATTTCTATGGACCGTGTTCACACCTGAGTATTTTGTTGCAAGCAGAAAAAAACACCTGCAGCTGGAAAAAGTACATGAGCTACTTTTTGGCAGATTACAGTGCATTTTGGTCCCATAGACTTCAATGGCAATTTTTGTGCGACGAACACGTGGCAAAACGCTCAGGTGTTAACAGGGGCCATAGAAATGAGTGGGATTCCTTGTCTTAAGCATTTTGCCAAGCTTACCCTTTAGCAACCAAATGCCTAGGTGTAAATGGAGCCTTATCCTCTTGGTAATAACCTTTAAAGAATAATAAATAAAATAATTTAAGAATGCTATGATTTTACCTAGTTAATTGTTGTACTTATGTGGTCAGTACAAGCAGCTGGCCACATAAAGATTTTAAATTCTTATGAAACTGATGTTGACAAATCTGCTTCACTATAGATTCCTTCATTCATGTGGTCTCCAACAACAATAATAGTTAATGGAGAAGAAACAAAATATCCTCTTCCTCCGACTACAAAACATTTGAATTTCTGGAACAGCACAGGACTGAGCTACGAGGCAGAACATGTACGACAGTGTCTTTTAAAAGGTAAGCAAAACCATCTTTGTTTCTTGATGGAGTCGCTACTAACCTCATCTGTCTATAGATGGGTGTGCAGCGCTCGGGGTCACCAGAGGGGAGTTTTGTCGTGGACACTTGGGGGGTGATTTACTAACCTAAACACACGCACGCACCAGGTGCGTGTGCATTTTTACACAGCAAAACGTATTTATCAACCAAACAAGAGCAACGTGTCACATTTTCACGCCGTTATGGCGCATTTTTATGTATTTACGTACGTGCGCGTCATGTAGCATGCGCCATAGGCTACACGCCGCTCTAATAGCGGCATGCAAGTCTCTAAAAGCATATTTCCACTAATGCCATATATGGAAAAATCATGCGCATGATTCATATATAATGCTGCTTCACAGTTTAGACAAAAATGGTTAGCTCATGCATTTACATTCCTGCATTCATCAACGCAAGCAACACAACATAGAGCTAATTTACACAACATCACCTTGCAATTCATGCAGGGCTTTGCACAACACACCTGCTGGGTGTGTACACACTACAAAGGTGTCTAGATTCCACCAATAGATCATGCTGGGAGGGAACACACTACAGAGGTGTATACTTGTTCGTGGCGTGTTTATAAGGTTAGTAAATCAACCCCTTGGTGTGGGAAAAAGATTAAGCTTTTGTTTGAAGCTTGTTTTCATCATCAATACATCATATATACTTGGATTCCATAATAGTTTCGGACTCACTTTTATTGATGACTTTGAGCTGATTTGTTGTTTATCACTTTTATTGATCATTTTTGTATTTTTACGCTTGATTACAACAAAGAATTTTATAATAAGGCATAATTAATTTAATACACTTTTGCACAAAGTGAAATTTGGTATTCATCTATTTATTATTTCACTAGCTATCACTTTAGTATGTTAATAATGATTGCAAACACCTATTTAATGTTTTGATTACATATTGTTTTGTTAACACTTAATTACGTATTTGATAGTTCACCCTACTGGTGACCCCGAGCGCTGCACGGCACATCTATATACAATTTGACCTGAGTGTCCCGAGCGCAGCAGCTTTTATTATTATTACTATTTTTAAATATATATTTTTTAATAATTATATTATATTATATTTATATCCAAAAGCGCGGATTATATATATTTTAACCTCATCTGTCTGCCTACCTGGATGTAAGAGAATTAAGCAGGCTCCACCCACACATTTCTCACCAATGGGATGGATAGGACAAATCGGTAGATGATAACAAATAACAGTTAAATAAAGCTCTTTAAGAAGTGAAAACTCAGGCGTAAGCCCAATACAGAATGCAGGGAAATGGGGATGGCATATGATATGCAATAAATTGCCTTTTACGATGGGAGTTATTCACAAAGCTGCTGAAGGCAGCCGAGTGAATAACCGAGCTGAAGTGAATTAAGCCAAACGTCGTTCAGCTATTCACTTCAGCTCAGTACGGCTGATTTCAGCCATACATCGGCTGCCTTTGGTCAGCCGAACATGCTCTGCATATGGCTCCTGGAAGATGAGGCGCCGGAGAGAAGGAAGACTCACTAGGTAAGTCCGATCCAGTTGAAGAGGGTGAGAATCGTGGGTGGAGAGCAGTTTTGCAGGTAGGGACCACCGAAGGTGATGAAGGCGTGGTAGGCCTTGGTGCCATCTTGGGTTCGCGCGCCTCGCTTAGAATCTCCGGGCCATCAAAGTAATCCTTGATGGAGGATGCAGATGTAGGTTTCCCCGAAGCACTGGAAAGTGAAAAGTGATTTAGAGGCTCTGGAGGATTTCTTTTTCCCCGATTTATAGTGTGTTTTGGTTGCTAAAGCAGTAGACAGAGCAGTCCTGGTGCAGAGCTCTTAGTGCAAGCATCCACTCACATTGCCAGCCAGCTAACGACCCCCCCCCCCTGGATAAAATATTTTACATTTAATTTTGTTTATTGGAAATTAAGTAAGTATAGCCTGCAGTTGACATAACATAGCCCTTTTTTTAAAGATTTTTCTACTTAATCTGGCCCACTGTATCATTTGAATTTGACACACCTCCTTTAAGAGTTCATGTACATTGGTGTATGTTAAGCAATTTTAAAGTATCTGGAATGCTGTTTGAATTTGAATGAAATCGCACTTATCACTTGTGCTTACTGTTGCTGCTAGTATGCATTGTTTTTGTGCCTGTATAGAAGTCAAAGGGAACATGAGGTAAACACATCTCAAATTCTTTTTTTGGTTTTTTTTTTTTTTTTTACAAAATAAGGAGAAGCCTCAGAGAATAACTCCAAGTAACAAGATAAGTACGGTAAAAGATAATGTGTCACCTCGATATATGTTCATGTTACCTAGAGTCAGATTAGTCTTCTGTTTATTTAAAACTCAGTTTGGCAGTTTTTGTATGACATAACTATATCACCTGAGTGATATGTAATTATATGCGTTGTTGTTTTCAGGATTAAAAGAGAGCCCAGTAATGAGTTTAGCAGAGAGTGAACTGCTGGCTAGCATCATGGAAGAAGTCCACATACAACTGGGCATCTATAAGAATAAAACATGAATGATGACATCCTTTGGAACTTACAAATATGTAAATAAATATTTCCTTACAACAGCTCCCAGTGGTTAATACATACAGTTCTTAATATTTAACAAGGTGTAAATTCATTGTATGTTGTTCGCTCACTAAGCATGACAATGAAAGGAGTGCTTGCTTTCTTTAGCTTCTTGAGGATCCAGCAGATGGCCTATAGATGATTTTCTTGACTCTTCCATGGCAGTATCAGTATAGGTAGTCTCCTCTCCTACATACCCCTTATGAAAGCCATAAATTACACTCCTGCCATAGCTGAGGTGTTCTTTTTCTGTCTTCCTCTTTATGGCTTGTCCTTTATGTCAAGGCAGTAATATATTTATGGCCTTCGACCATGTATTCTCTCTGGAGCACTCCCTGTGTATGGACAACTGATAGTGTACAATCAGAAAACCCATTTGCTGGTCTTTTGGAGTTCACGGCAGAATTTGCTGAAATATGGAATTTACTTGTCCATATTTTAACCTCTAACCTAGGTTTTGAGAGTCTGCCTTGCTTGCACCATGTTGTATGGTGGCAGCTGGTAGAATGGCCTCTTTTCATACAGCCCAAATGTTTATCCCCATCCTCCTTTTATTCTGTCCTGAGACCTATGGCAGGAGGTCCCTTTCAAGAAGAAGCTTGAGCTCTACCTCTCCAAGAGTAAAAGCTCTAGTGTCGCCCCAAAACATCTGTTAGCCAGAGCACCCTTGGTGGCAGGGTCAGATCATGAACAAAAGTATGCTATTTTAAAATATTTGGGGCCATGATATTTTTGTGCTATTCATTTTTTCTTGTTTCTTCATAGTTTGTTTCTATGTGGCATCCTACCTCACCTCCAGCCCATCTTTGTCTAATCCACCCTTACTTGCTGGCTTGCTGAGGGCAGACATGGCGTTTCATCGCTTCCAGTGGAGGTTCTGTGCAGGCACCATTTCTCAGAAGTGTGTGTGTGTGTGTGTGAATAAATTGTTTTTCCTTTTACATTTAGTGCCTCATTTCTGTGGGTCCACCATTGCCACAGCACCTCCAACACGATAGAAAGAGATCCTTTCCTGCTATTGCTTCTCTATCCAACTTTTCCCTCTACCTCTTCTTCCCCACCTACTTCTATAAATAAAAAAAAAGGAAGAGAGCGCCACCTCCGTGGGCAAAATCCTTTATTAGGATAAATACCATGTTGGGTTAACAGACAGTGTGGCCTCTCGTTTGTTGTTAAAGCGTGATGAAAACGTTTGCTTGTGAGTACATTTATCCCTTGTTTTATTCATCTTAATAAACGATTTTACACACGGAGGTGGCGCTCTGTTGCCTTTTGTTTTTCTATGTTCGTGGTAGAAGCCCCAGAGCCTTGGATGAGCAGCCCCTCAAGTCTGTGTGAAAAACTGTGATTAACTGTTGATAACTTTGAGTATGCAACAGCAAGTGGATCGTTCAGCTGGCAGCCATTAGCACCAAGAGTTAAAGAAAACTTTTTGTCTTCTATGAATAAAAGTTCTAAGGAGGATATTGCAGATTACTCAGCAGAATGTAAGTGCTGATGAATCTAAAGAAAGTGTGTGTGTCTATATGTATATTTTATTGTTATAGAAACAAGAAATAAGACAAAGAAAGCAGAAAACTTGAGTGTGCATAGCTATTAAACACCCTCTAGTCAATATTTTTAGAGCCATCTTTTGCAGCAATTACAGCTGCAAGTCACTTGGGGTACATGTCCATAAGCTTGGCACATCTAGCCACTCGGATTTTTGCCCCTTCTTCAAGCCAAAACGGCTCCAGCTCCTTCAAGCTGAATGGGTGTTGCTGATGTACAGCAATCGTTAAGTAATGCCACAGATTCTCAATTGGATTGAGATCTGGGCTTTGACTAGGTCATTCCAAGACATTTAAATGTTTCCCCCCTTAACCACTTCAAGACCAGGTGTTTAGACCCCCTTCCTGGCCAGGCCATTTTTCAGTGTTCAGCACTGCAGTACTTTGACTGACGTTTATTCCGTCATGCAACGCTGTACTGAAATGAATTGTATACCCTTTTTTTTGGTGGTATTTAATCACCACTGGGGTTTTTTAATTTTTTACTATATTAAGGAAAAATTATTGAAATTTCATAAAGGAGACAATGATTATTACCCATATTTTTGGTAAAATATAAAAGATGGGGTCACGTCAGGTAAATAGACACCAAACATGTCATGCTTTAAAATTGTGCGCACCCGCGAAATCGCAAAAAACTACCATACCCAAAATTGAGCATTGGCGACGCTTTAAAAGCGTTTACAGCTCATCAGTTTAGTGTTATCAGTGATTGATGGCCCTAGAACTATTGCTCTCATTCCGACGTTCGTGACGATATGTAACATGTGCGGCGTAAAGGGGCGAAATCGTCGTTTTCGCACCCGACACCTGTTTGCATGCGTGTATGTATGGGGGGACTTTAAAAAGAAAAATGTAATTCTTTTTTATTTGTAACTTTACATTTTTGGGTGGGAAACTTAAATTTTTTTTTCACTTAGCAATAAAGTTATCACATAGGGGGGTTAGAAAACCCTAATGTAACCTAGGACCCCCCTGATGAAGCAGAGATCTGCTTCATCAGCTTCAAGGCTCGCACCCGGCACAGCGGAGCCCGGGACCAGCTTGACAGTGGGAGGGGGGGAGCGGCGCCTCACGGGACCTCATACTAGCGATCCGCCGGCTCTATAGCAGGCGGATCGCTCGTATATTAACGGGCATCGCTGCCTGTTTTCAAATAACGGGCATTTCCTGCTCACGCGCGAGGGGGCGTAGCTGAGCGGACGTCTAAAGACGCCCGCTCGGATCTAGAGAGCTCCTGGCCGGCAGTTTTTTTACGGCCGACCGGGAAGTGGTTAAACCACTCGAGTGTTGCTTTAGTAGTATGCTTAGGGTCAGGGCCGGCCTTAGGCGCCCTGTGCGAGAAAGCTTTACAGCGCCCCCCAGTGACCACACCCTTAAGTGGCCACACGCCCAGTAACCACACCCATTTCCCCCAATATCCGCACCATTTAAAGACCCCTATGCTGTTAAGCCGCAAATAAACATATTAAAAGGTATGATAAAAATAAAACTTTTATTCAAAAGGTATTAAACTTGTAGGCACAATATAAGTATTCTTATCAAATAAAACAACAGAAGGCAAACAATAAATGTCAAACTAAAATAGTCTATAAAAATAAAGTGTCAGGTTGTGCAGCTAGAAAAGTAAAAATAAAAAAACAGAACATAAAACCCAGACTACATGTAAAATGAATGAATTACTATATGTCTGAAAATACGAAAAATTTATTCGGGCACATAGTTATTTGTTTGAGAATGTGCAGCGGCCATGTTGGCCACCTGCGTGTTCTGTGAATGTGTGCCACCATCTTGGAGGCGGGGAGCATGAAGTTACATGACGCCATGCATGCGCTGCGTCAGGTGACGTCACACGCCGATATTGGCCCCACCATCTTGGTGTATACCTAGACATACACCAAGATGGCGGCGCCCAACACGTGTGGTGTTACATGACGTTATGCGCCCTGCCTCCAGAACACGTCAATGGCTGAATCCAAAATAGCATAAACATTTGTTTTGTTTGATGAAACGAATTAAATGTTTTTAGTTTTCGTTCATTTCATCTGAAATGAATTTTTAGTCTTCACACATGTCTAATAATATGTGTGTGGGACCCCTGACATTTCCCTTTTAAAATAGAAAAGAAATTGAGGACACCAAATCCTGCAGCCTCAGCCCTCAATGAATGGGAAGCACTCAGTACGGAGGCTTCCCATTCATTCAGACACTGATAGTAAAATATTTACTATCACCAGGTTCTGAATGGGGAGGAGCCTCTGTAGTGAGTGCTTTTCCCCATTGAGAAATTCATGAATGAACAGGAGGTGATGTAAATCACTACCTGTTCATTCATAACTGGGGACATGTGATCAGACGATCGCTCCAGTGTTTGTCCTCACATGGAGGATCTGTAAATATCAATGATATCTACAGATCCCCCGCTCTGCACACAGCCGCTGTCATCCTGAAACTGACAGGATGACAGCGGCTCTGATCTCCTCCCCGCTCGGCCATCCTGACAGCTGCGGGCGCAGCTTCTCTCCCCCTCACCGCTCGTCCAACCTGACAGAAGGCAGCGCTCCCTCCTGCGCCCCCCTCCCAGAACAGCAGGGCGGCGGCGGACGAGGGAGCGCTGTCATGGCGCATGGCCAGCGGTGAAGAGGGAAGCCGCCTCGAGCTGTGTCGGCCGCTCGCACACCCCTAAAGCCGGCCCTGCTTAGGGTCATTGTCTGCTGGCAGATGAACCTCCGTCCCCAGTTTCAAATCTCTGACAGACTGAAACAGGTTTCCCCTCAAACATTTGATTGTATTTAGCGCCATCCATCATTCCTTCAATTCTGACCAGTTTGCCAGTCCCTGACAATGAAAAACATCCTACCACCATGCTTCACTGTGGGGATGGTGTTCTTGGGCTGATGAGAGGTCTTGGGTTTGCACCAGACGTAGCATTTTCCTTGAAGGTCCAAACATCTAAATTTTAATCTCATCTGACCAGCATACCTTCTTCCATTTGTTTGGAGAGTCTCCCACATTACTTTTTGGTGAACAGCAAACGTGTTTGCTTATATTTTTCTGGCCAAGTTTCTGTAAAGGCCAGCTCGGTGGAGTGAACGACTTAAAGTGGTCCTATGGACAGATACTCTAGTCCAGAGGTGCCATAAGGTCGATCGCAAAGCTAATTCTGGTAGACCGCGATCGGAAGTTATATTTGGCTGCTCCGTTTGTCTTGGAGCTCAGCTGCTGGCCGGGGTGCAGTTCTCAGGCGTAGCCAGCAGGTGGTGCTATGTCCCAGCCAAGCTCCTGACACTGTAAGCCTTGGTTCAGAGTACAGCATGCAGCTGCTCCACTCTGAGAAGCACAGGCCTGGGCGAGATGTTCTTTCTCAGAGGGAGGGGGCATTGTTTTTTCCCACAGGATATA